AGCTCATTTCCCACCGGGCCCTCTTCACAGATAATTGCTCTGGTAGTATATACGAATACATTTGGTATTGTATTTCGTAGTATACTAGAATACATCTGCTGTTGTATTTTAAAAGTAAGTAAGTATTGTAATATTAAATTATTTTTGCTTATCATTTTTATTATTAAAATTATTATTATTGTTTACCAGTTATTATAGGGAACAGTATTACGTTTAATAGATAAATGCAATATTAACTAAAATAGATAAAGGCATGTTTTCTTTAAAAAAATAATTAACAAACGTTTAACACTTAAAGATATAGTAGAAAAATATTTCAAATTAACAAGAGTAAGTTTGTAACATTACACTATTTCAGAAACAGATTTATAAATTATAAATATAGTTTAATAAACATAAATATACGGTAGAATAAATAAATGTAAATAAATGAAATTAAATAACTGTCAAATAAAATGAAATGTTTAACCAGTAAGACTTTTACATTTTATCTCATTTCTACAAATAAATTTAATAAGAACGAAGAATAACAAAAGAAATGAAATGTTTTGATTGACTGAATAAATAAATTTTTTTAATACCAATGAGAGCTGGAAAAAACTTTTTATTATTTCAGAAAGTGGGCTTTTTATTATCTCAGAAAGTGTATTTTTTGGGTTTTTTAGTTTTTATTTTGAAATGCTAAATATCATTACCAAAATGCAGATGAACGAGAATCTTTTCGAAAGCGACTCAAAATGATATTTGTAAATAAACATAATGTTAAAAGAAATTTTTTAATATAAATATAAATTTTAATATAAAAAGAAAGTCAGAATATTTATTATTTAAAAAAACTTGAAAAAGAAAAAACCCAGAAAGTTTATTTAAAGTTTGTTTTTTTTAAAAAAACTGTTTTTTAAAAAAAACCCAAAAAACCCAAAACTAAGAAAACACACTTTTTCCAGCCCTGACGTCGATAGTTTAAAAACAACATACCCAGTAAACACAGGACGTTTTAAAAACGTTTTAATTCCGTTCAATTTACGGTCGGACGTTAAAAGAACCAATACAATCGTTTTAAAACGTTTTTTTGCAAACGTTTTTTTTTAATGTTATTTCAAACGTTTTTTTAGCGTTTTTTAAACGTTTTATTTTTTTTATTAACTTACGAAATTTTTAAGTTAGCTTATAAACGTTTTTATAACGTTTTTTAACGTGATAAAAAAACGTTTTTTAAACGTACAGCACGGCAATATCTAAAAGAGTATGTTTACGCAAATAATGGCGTGACCTTCGATCAGGCGAATTGATTTATTTAAGTAAAAATTATATAAATTAGTATATATTTAAACCAACCAAGTGTTTGTATTGTTTTCTTGTAGAATTAAATTTGAAAATATATTGGAGTATTTTTAGTTTAAAGTTGTATGCCTTCGTTGAAACTAGGTTGTGTTTGTATTTCTACTTGAATCAAGTAGATATGATTAATAAAGTTTTTATGGTGTGGTTAACTAGAGTTTTTTTTTCTCTATTAAGTAAATTAATTGTTGAGTAAACTTGATTGCTTAAAAAAACTAGGTTAAGTTTTTAATTCTACTTAATTATCAACTGCTTTTAATGCAAAAAAATTTATTTGGATTTAAGAAAAGGGAACAACATTCTCAGAGTTTTTCTTCTTTAACTCAAAAAATTAAAAATCATAATATTAGTGGTTTTTATAAAGGAATTACTAGAGTTAAAATGGCTGAAAGAAAAAAATATGATAATTTGTTTCAAGAAAGGAAGTGACTTTCTTCAAAATGTCATTTTAAAATTTTTATTCTTTATGATATTCTGGTGTTATTACCAAATATTTAGCAGTATGAAACCTATAATATTATATACAATACTATATACCCTATTTTACTTATAAAGTTAATAATCTGTAAAGTAATTTGTAAAAAACTTTTTAATTGTAAAATTGCTACATCAGAAGACAAGTTGTTAGATGAAATTCAAATATTCTCTATGTTTGTGTTGTGTAGGTCAAAAAATAATAAACAAAGATGAGAGATTCATTTTAAAAGATTCATTTTTCATTTGACACATCAATCTTCATCATCTTTAAATAAAAAGGATAAACATTATGGATTTCCATTATCTCAAGCAAGTAAGTCTTTAGTTAAAAATAATATTGTAATGTTTGTTGTAAAATGCTAACATGACTGTCAATATTAAAAAACATCATTCAATTGATGAGGTTCCAATTTTAACTTTAAATAATCACCTTCATGAAATCCATTATTTCAATATTATCAAAATTATAAATCTATGGAACAATTTTTCTTGTCTAACCCGAAATCTGAGAAAAACGCTAATATATATAATATAGCATTGCCACTATTAGGTATTTTACTGTCTATTAGTTTTTCTTTGATTCAGGGTTAGACCAGTAAATTTGTTAAATTGTTAAATTTATGTATTTTAAGTTTATTTATTTACGTAGTTTAGTTAAGACTATGTAAAATTTAATTATTGT